CTCCCGTGTGCACTCGTCCTCCACCCACCACTCCACCGCGTCCCGGTCCCGCACCGTCACCGTCACTCCCACCCGCGTCTTGCCCCGCCGCTTACACCGCGTCCACACCCCCACCGCTCGCGTTCCCACGCCTCCCTCCCGCCGCACACGCGCCCCGCTGCTCAACACTCGCTCATCCTCCGCGTGCGCAGATACCTCCCCAATGTCCTCGGCTGCCCCCACGGACCCTTCGTCCCGCGTCGTCCACACGTAGAACATCCGCTTCCCTAATCTTTCTCGATGCCGCGTCACCCGCCCCGCATCACTTCCATTCCCATCTCGGCTGTACGCACCCACAGCCCGTCCGCCAAGCACCACGTCCGCGTTTGCCGCGTACCCCCACAAAGGCGCACGCGTCCCCACGTGCAGCCGTGACGCCGCCCCGCCCCCGCAGTCCTTCCTCCACCACATCCGCACCGCCTTGAACGGCGCCACCCCGATGATCGCGTTCACTCTCGATCTACCCTTCGTGCGGCATGAGTACATCACATCAAACACGGAAAACGATGTCGCCGCGACCACCCCACCGTAGTTCGACCCGCGCAGCTCCACCCCCACCGCCTCTCCGTCTGACTCGCTGTTCGACTCCACCACAGGCGTGTCGTAATACTGCGAATGCGCCCCCGTTTCCAGCGTCAGGTACAACCGCGTTGATAGCACACTCGGCCCAAACATCGTCCCCGCCTTATCCTCCCCACGAAGCGAAACCGCTTTACTCATGTCATCTCCGTTTCCCGCAAACCATCCATAGTCGAGCTTCTTGTGCTCCCCATACCCGCATATCTTGTCCCACGTCAGCACCAGTTTCGTCTCCTCGTCGAGCAAAAACTTCATCACCACCTGCGATTTCTCCCTCTCCCCGCTGGCCCCTTGCGAGCACCCATGTCGAAGCGTGATCTCGCCCGTCTTCTCGTCCACGTCGTTGGAAAAGTCTTGGATCTGCGGGTGGGCCCGTCCGCCAGTAGCCTGGACGCGCGGCTGCTTGAAATTGTACCGAGAAGCATCTGCGTACATAAACTCGAACGTCACCTGATCCCTGTACTCGCCAAACACCCGCACAGTGCACACTTGTTCACCATCAGTCGTTTTCGGGCTTTCACGGCAGCTCGACTTCCAGTTTGAGGCTACTACGCCTTTCGAGACCACAAAATCCTCATCGCGAAAGGCATGCACCCCCGCTTCTTTCACAACGAGCCCAAAATCTTGGAATGTGTCCTTCTCAGGCTCTTCCTCGGTCTTACTTTCGCCTTCGAAGCTCTGACTGCATGATGTTGAAAATAGCAGTGCAAGTGCACACGCACACAAACCAAAGTTTCTCATCGAGCTTCTTGTGTGCATCAGTGGTTTTATCAAGTTTCAGGCGCTGGCACTAGCGAAGTAGAGGGAGGCCGACTTGTTTTGGAGGTGCTTCACCCTTTTTCTCACTGACAGATTTATGCGTAAACAACGCAAAATGGCTTCTTGTCTCCACAGATAACTTTCAAATCGCCACAACTGAGTACGCAAATATATTAATGGTTTGCATTCATCTAGGAACTGTCCTTCTATTTGCTATTGAGCTGTTTCGCATTTATTTATGGTGGCTGAAAAGAGTGTAGATGTGTTCAGGCAGCGACAAAGGCCCACGGCTGCGGTGAGTTTTAAACAAACAAGCGATATATACATGAAAAGTACTCAAAACGAGAAGATTTCCATGGCATTCGTTTCATTGATTGCTCTGACAGATAGGTAACTGACACTTTTTCTTGAAAAGAAAGATTCAAGTGTCGGGTCGTTCCCCCGCCACATGAATAAAAGGGAAATTAGCATTGCTTAATTTCACTCATAAATACATCCTCCCTCTAGAGCGAAAGCGAAAGCATGGCCTGCTCTTCAATGACGAGTTGCAGCGTTAGTACAAGTTACTGATTACAAATTAGACGCTCGTTTTTGCTGCAAACCTTTTTTTGTTTTTTGGGCGTCGAGGAGAGGTCCAAGAAAACAAGTCCTGAGTCTGTTTTAGATCCAGTGTGCTTTTCTCTCTATCAAATAGTTCACATCGAAAATCCTCGGCAACCGCGAGCCGATCTTGAATATATCTCCACCAAGAACAGTGCTCATGATTAGGGCAGTCTAATGGCGAGCACCAGTACTTTTCCTTTCAAAACATTCATGTGCAGATTATGGGCAAGGACGTTTATACTGGGCTTGCTTTGCATATGTCTGGCTCTCGGCCAGGACGATGATTTGGAAGACGATGTGACTTACTCATCATCAGAAGCGCGAAATGTGTCGAGAGAAGCATACAACCAATTTCATCTTGTTCTTTCAAGTGAAGAGGATGACGTCACGGGACAGGACGAATCTACGAATGTCGTATTTGCGAACGGCAAAGTCAGCCAAAGCTGGATTCCCCTTACAGAGGTAGAAGTACGCGATCCAATTCGAATGCTTTCCATGTTTCATCACGATCAGTATACAGACAGGATCTCATTCGAGTATTCGTTTGGAAGCTTTTTGAACTACGACATTCGCTCTCCTATCGCCACGACGGATAATGAAGATATTGCTAAACCCAAAGTTGTTGACTATCAGATAGACGAGGAGGACCAGTCTGGATCATTTACAGTTGTGTATGACTGTCACCGGCATCCTGTCGATGATCAGCTGCGCAACACCACCATTTCTGTTGTCTTCCCGGTGGTGGGCGGACTGTCTCTCTACTTTTCATTTCGGAAGAGCTGCGGGGGAGGTCACCACAAGTTCATAGAACTCGGATACTTCGAAGAATCTTCAAATGCAGCATCTGAAGTAAGCCGGGTACCTTTTATTTCTTCAAGTGCAGGGCCAGTATTTGGTCCCCATGTTATAAGTACGAAGCTCTATATTCACTTGTACCATCCTGCAATGTCACAAGAGTTTTTTCATGTCAACGTTTCCTCCGCAAGTCCATCACTGCTCATACATAGTCGTGGGCAAACGTTTGGCGGAATCGTCAAGGCATCGGAGTCTACCGTTTTGCATTTGCTTTATGACTGCCAAGGGAACGGCAAAGTAGAAGTATCTCTTTCTATTCCCATATTCCCTTTCCATGAACTTTCAGCCCATTGGGTAAAAGACTGTGGTGGGGGAGATGCAAGAGGCCTGCACGTCGGCACACGTTTATCGAACATGACTGATGTTGTGGCAAGTGCTGAAACTCGTTACAGATGGAAACTGGCGATGCAGACAGAGGCTGGTAGCATGCCCGCCGATGCACCATTATTGAATTCATCTACACGAGTCAAAGACTTCTGGCTTTCTAATGATGGCATCCCTATCCACGTGGCACCAGCTATTATCACCGTGGGAAAACCGGATGTACTTGTTCCAATTCTGTCATATCCAGAAGCAAAGCATTCTGGCATCGCCCAAGGTACAAGTATCGTTTTACCACAGGGAGAACATGTTCACATTCAAGTGCGAATGATTTGCAAAAGAAAAGGCCACACGCAAATTATTGTGACCTTTCCCATTAAGGCCTTCTCTAACGTCGAATTTGGCTTTTTTAAGGCGTGTAAAGCGCCTAGACGACATGTGCACTCTGGATTCTTGCGTACAGCGAACAGTGTTATGGCGGCCTCGACCTTTTTGCTGGCGGGAACTTTTGCGTATTGGTGGATTTGGCAGCTGCGAGTTGTGGGGGGTGTCGCAAATATGAAGCCATCGAATAGACATCGCCCGCAAAAGTAAGATAAGCAACCAGCGCGCAAGGCTTCTGTGGCATATTCTCGGGCTTGGCGGCACTCGCGGCTCTAAATGTCGGCTTGAGAACGGGTTTCAGCGTTTTTGAGCTTTGCTTCGACGAGGCATCTGTTCCAGCGCTCGATCTCCTTTCGGCATTTCTTCTCGTCGTAGTTCTTCCTGCTGAGACATTGTTGAATTGCACACGCGTAAGTGTGGCAAACATTCTCCTCATAACTGAGATGAGCTGTCTTGTCGGACTGCTTCTTCCTTACACCTCCGGCAGTCATCTCTATTCTATCTGCGGAGTGAGCTAGCCGATAGTGCACCGAGAAAGTAGCGTCCAACGGCCGCTGGAAGGCTCGGTATCACGGGCAGTTGAAGGCTGTGCCCCTGACTGCGAATGCAGATGGTGGCAAACCGCTTCTAGGGGTTTCAATTGATTCTGCCGTACGAAGGAGGCGAAGGGTTCAAGCGAAATCGACAACTGTGGCAGGGCAACGACAAATCGGCAGGGGTATTTGTTCGGCCTGGAGACCGCTTTTTTCGCCTTACGTTTGAAGAAAAGATGTTTAATTAAGGAGACCACACCCAGAGTTGGATAGCGCAGATTATGGCCTTGCTCCTGTAGCAACGTAGCAACTATACAACTTCACGTAGAGTTCATGTACTCCTCAAGCCGAAACGCGGTTCTTACCAAAAGAAGCGATATGCGCAAATGACCCGCTTCCTTCAAATCGTACAGTAAAGCATAATCAGACATCCGAAAATCAGCCGTATGGTGAACTGGGCAATTGATAAAACGGAACCCCTGAGATTGCAACTAGTCATCCTCGCCGTCTATTGCGTCAGGAATTTCGTTCGTGAAGTCTATCTCATCCTCATATTGCAGAGCAAGATCGACCATGAGTAGTAAATCCGCTATGGAGTCGTCGTCGGAAGCGTCGAGTGGAACAAAACTGACCATACTGAACTCTTCAAGAAGAGCTCCCATGGCTGAATTCAGTCGCAGATACTTCGGACCTGTGTGCAGAGACAACTCTTGGATCAGATTGTCAATGTCTGGGTACATGTACTCGTCGAGCTGACGCTTGTCCACGCCTCGAGCGAGGTCCATTTTTGACATCACGTTGATGTGTGGGATCTCTAACTGAATCATAGCAGATAACGCGGTGATACATCCACCGAAAAACTTGGCCCCATCAGTCATGAATTGTGAGTCAAGAAGATATAAAGCTTGGACGCGAAAGTCCCATCGATGTAAATATGAGAGGAGGTCCTTCATGAATGGAAAATGAGTGTACAATTCAATCTGACCAGGCAAGTCAAACACTACGTAGTCGTTATCAATGAAAGCATCTAGTTTGTCCTCCAACCATCCGATATTTTTCAGCAAGAACTCCATGCAGTACACGAGTGCTCCATTTGGACCCAGCTCCAACTCTTCGCCGACATCTGCAACTGAAATGAGTTCGCGAATATCGATAGTCATGTTATACTGAAAGTTTTCAGCTGCCTGAAGCAATACAAGGACAATTGTATGAGATTAAAGTTAGAACCCTCAGTGCTATGGCTCGGTTGCTGTTTGATGGTTTGTACCGAAAAAGGTAGAAATGGCACTTACTGGATCAAGGTTAATAACATGCAATGAACGTTTCTTATCATTGCAATATCTTTGCAATTCAGCGCAATAAGTGCTTTTTCCGCCTCCGGCTGGACCTAGGACGACTTGAGCAAACTTAACCATTTTCGCCTTTGCCTCCAAAGCTGTAAGAGGTTATGGGCACTTATTTCGCTCAAAATTTCGACTCGTTCTCTCTGTACCGAATTGTGTGTGGGCTTTTGGCATGCCGTTGTCGAAATGTCCCAAGTACCCCGCCTTCAGCAAGACTTCAACCGAGAAGATCATGCAGCATGACAAACGACTTCTGGCTAGACAGGAGCCTCAATCGTGCAGATCTACAGAGCTTAAAAGCAAGATAAGGTGCGAGTATGCACTCGCCGAAACCCCGTTAAAACAATTAGTCGAAACGAAGGAGCAATGGGACACGGAAGGGCATTTCATATGATCCAATTCTTGTAGATCACAAATCCTTCTCCGAAGGAGAGCTATTTCGGACCAAGAATTAATTTAATTTTATCGCACGGCAGTGGTTTAGCCAACCAAATATGGCCAAGTCAATGTCACGGCGGCGTTGTGTTTGCGCAGTTCCGGCCGGTGACCGATACCAATAGTCCGGTCCCCGCTGCTGGCGATCCGGCCGCTGCGCGAACCATCGAGAGTTAATACGGACGACCGGCATTGCCTTAATCTGTCCCCGTAACGCTCTCTGAGAGGAAAAGAGCAACTGATTTTTCTGCGAGAACCGTTCACCCGAACAGCAACACGATGCCAGCCCTTGCGAATCCTGCTCCCGATGGGGAGGAAGTAGAGATCAAGCCGAAGATGCGCAAGAAGATGGAGTACTTCAAGTATTTGCAGTCTGCTTTCGATGAGTACGACCAGGCCTTTTTGGTCAATGCTGATAATGTTGGCTCGAAGCAAATGCAGGAGATTCGTATGAAGAACAGGGGCAAATGGTAAGTCTTCTGCATTTCGGTCAATCTTGATGATCGCTTGATTTTACAGCGCGGGATCGTAGCGGGTCCGTGTAGTCTCGTTCTCGGACAATGAGAGTGTAATGCGATGCATCTTTTTCCTCTTCAATGAATCGGAATAGCTTATTCTGACAACTCGATGCATCCACAACCGGTTTTAGCCTTTTTTTGTTTGGGAAAAACACTCAGATGAGGAAGGCCATCCTTGAGAAGGCCGAGGAAAACCCTGACCTCAAGCAGCTCACCGAATATTTGAAGGGAAATGTTGGGTTTGTTTTCACGAAGCAAAACCTCAAAGGTATCCGTGACGGCATTCTTGAGAACAAGGTTCCGGCCCCTGCCCGTGCTGGTGCTGTTGCTCAGGTTGGTGTCACGATTCCTGCAGGTCTGACTGGAATGGAACCGACACAGACAAGTTTCTTCCAGGCTTTGAACATTCCCACGAAGATTAACCGCGGGCAGATTGAAATCATGTCCAACGTCGAGCTCTTCAAAGAGGGAGACAAAGTTTCCTCCTCCGAGGTTGCGCTTTTGACTAAAATGAAAATCAAGCCATTTTCCTACGGTCTTGTATTCAAGCAAGTGTATGACAAGGGTACTATCTATTCTCCGGATGTCCTTGATATCACCGACGAGCGTCTCTCTCAGTCTATCTCTGCTGGCCTCGCCAACATCGCGGCGATCTCCATGAAGATTGGCCATCCGACAGCCGCCTCTGTGCCACACTCCATCATGAATGGTCTGCAAAACATGGTTGCTATCTCTCTCGCGACGGATTATGTTTGCAAGCCGGCCGAGAAAATCAAGGCAATCCTTGACGACCCCGAAGCTCTGGCTGCCATGGCTGCCGCGGCAGCTGCTCCAGCAGCTGGTGGTGCTGCTGCAGCCGAAACAGCTCCGGAGGAAGAAGAGGAAGAGGAGGAAGAGGAAGAGATGGACTTCGATCTTTTCGACTGAGCTGTGCCGAGCCAATAAATCTTGCCATAAATCTTTCCTGAAGAACTATAGTTTACCTGTATGCTTAACTGCACGAAACTATCTTTTATTCTAGGAAATGACATAGCCACCAGAATCGTGGATCAATCTGCACTCGACCGCGCAGCAGCTTGGACAGCACGGTCGCTCTGAGAAAAAACGTAATCCAGCTTCCTCTCCAGTAGCTCGTTTGTGCCTCTCAATCCCTTGACTACATTCGCTGCCCATTCGAAGTATTGGGCTACGCGCTCTGGCGTCCAGCTTTTTGGAGGGTCTGACAACAAATCCGTCAAGTTGTCTAACTTGTCACCCAGTTTAACCAATTTTGCCTCTCTGGAAATATGTGGAGCGTGTTCAATTTGCATTTCCTTCCGGCGTTCTTTTGGTAAAGACTTGTCATCAGTAACTTCGTCTACAATTTTTGCCACATCAGGTCCAAAGAGAGATCTGACTTCATCTAAAGTCGCGTCAGTATCCTCAATTGTATCATGCAGCAAAGCCGCAACCAGGACATTTTGGTCGGTTACACCACCCTCGAATGCTAAGCGATGTGCAACTCGCACGGGATGGCAGATATAGGGATGCTGTTTGGAGTTTTTTCTTCTCTGATCTCTGTGCTTTTCGGCACTGAAATGGATGGCCTTCACCATCCTCTTCGACTCAGAAACTCTTTCTGAGACACTGTCAGTTGTCTTCAACAGAGCCGGCATAACTTGGCTCAAGGCGATGCCAACTGCAAGGCCGGTGCCCGCAGATGCTAGACAAAACATCAGCGCCTTTTTGTCATTCATACTATATCTCTGTCGATGTCGCAAAGACGTTCCGCCGAGAAGAACGATTCACTGCCCAAAACAGTAAGAGGCAGCGGGAACGCAGGTGGGAACGGAGGTGAGAACGGAGGTGGGACGGCAGGCAAAGCGAGCTCACCCTAGTATACACACAGCGAACGCAGATGTTTCTTTGATTCTTGGAAAGAAACGTTAAAAGAACGTGGCCCACAGAAGCCAGGTTGCTATCTCTTTCCTGTAGAACCGGAATAGGGGTCGTCGGTGAGGCTTTAGCGGCTTCGCGTCGTAGGACTGCGTTATTTCCCCGCGAAAAGCCGAAAACAAGCAAAAAATGAAACTATCCAATAATCTCCAGCACGAAGATCGGGAATTGATCAAGCGTTCTTGAGAGATGGCGCACACAATCGAGAGACTCATCAAGAAGCAGAATAACTGCGCTATTTGCGGACCTCGTCTTCGGAAGTTGGCGAAAAGTCTTCATTCTTTATATGGCATTCTGTGCCCGAGAAACCAGAGTACATTGACCTGTAAGCAATGCACTTTCGTGTAGTTTGAGGTGCATCTAGTTTTCAGAAGGATCTTGTCCTAAAGAAGGCACTCTCTCTTTTTCAGGTTTTGGTCAATGCCCTGTTTTCCAGGGATACACATGTGTACGAGTTGGTATTCCGACCATAGCTGATGAAAAACGTCTGCAGGCAAGCACGGAAGTGATGCAGTTGCCGGTTGAAAATCGCAGTCAGCATGCAAAATAAAAAATGGTGCAGCTGTCGGAGAGCAAGATATAGAACGGATACATTGTACGTCGCCATGTTCTGTTCACAGATTGAGAAATAGTTCTCCGCGGCAATGACTGCACTCGAGATTGAAACAGGGTTTATGTTTCCTACGAAGGCGTGAAAGGTCTTTGTACTGGATCGCAAACACGGTAACCTCGGACTATCTCACTGCGATGGTAGAAAATTTTCGGCTTGACACTACGACTGAAGCACTTCTGTTGCTTTCTTGTCGTCACCCTCCAGGGCTTTGCTTATCTTCTGAAAATTTGTACTAGTCAACCTTGATGCAAGCGAATGGTAAAACAACATAGAAGCGCGCTCTGCATTCGACGCAATGGCTTCAGAAATACCGGCAACTCTTGCGCAATAGATACCACGAGAATCACCGCTTGAGCCGTTCCGCAGTTTGTATAGAAAAGTAATCTCCTTCGTCTTCTCGTTAATAACAGCTGCCATTTCATACAGGGCGGCTCTCATCTTATTGTTGTCCTTGCACAAAGAAACAATGTTCTCTCCGAGATGAGAGTAATGAGTGGAAAATACTGTCAGCGACTTGTTCATATTCACAATGTGTTTCAGACTGGCGTACGCCACAGCATAGCCATCGTGTGTTGAAGTGCCTCGCCCAACTTCATCTGCGATGATGAGAGACCGTGACGTGGCGTTGTTCAAAATGTGCCCAACCTCCTCCATTTCCACCATAAATGTAGATCGACCTCTAGCAAGATCATCGCTTGCCCCCATTCTTACAAAGATTTCTTCAAATGGTCTAATACGTAAGGATTCTGCTGGTACGTAGCATCCCATTTGCGCCAAAATGGCTCCTATTGCAATTTGTCGCGCCAGGGTCGACTTTCCTCCTGCATTTGGGCCTGTTAGGACCATAACATCTGGTTTCTGCTCACCTCCGAGGTATACGTCGTTGGGAACAAAGGAGTCCGACTGAGCTGCTAAGGTTGGATGGCGCAAGCCTACGGCATGAAACTCTGCTTGCAGATGACACTTTGGCAGAATCGTCGGACGACACATCGGACCATTTCCTTGCCCACGGCTCGTAGCCGCCAAACCTATCAGTGCATCTAACTCAGCACTCACCCGAGTTATTGCAGCCCATATATCATATTCAGCGTCAAACTGACCGATCATATCCCGAACTACAGATGCGCTCGCAATTTCATGGGCTTCCGAGGCTTCGATGTGCTTTCGAATAAGGCGTCTAATCTCTGATGTGTAGAAACGCTTGACTGCCTTAGCTTCTGAGACAACCTCGAATTCATTTGGTGTTTTCCCCTTCAATGTCGTAAGTTTCACTTCCAGTTGAAATGGCTCCTTCCCACGATGATAGAACTTGATAGAGTTGTCCCCGAGCTTCTGTCGCCACTTGATTAACTGACTAGACAACTCCGATTCTGCACTCTTTAGCACATCCCGACATTCATCGTACAGCGGAACTGCTCCTCGATTGGGAAGAATTTCTCCAGCAACTTCAGCGGCGCGGAGGTCGAAAGCTTCACCGAGAAAGTAGTTCAGTTTGTCCCGAGCTCCCTTCGAGACGCCGCACCCGGGTGAGTACAACCACCGGAGCCTTTTAGACTTAGGAGAGAGCTTGTCCATGACCTCGCGTAAAGTGTCCACGGCTTCCAGACAATCTTGAAGGCCACGAAGAACAGCGACAAACCCTCTCACGCGGCGTTTGTTCGAATCATCAAACATGACAGCGCCGCTGTCAACTGTAGCTTGCTGATGTAACTTTGGCAGGGCACGCTCTAAATCTTTCTTCGTCTTCAGATGTTTCAAGACTTCCATTAGGGCCGCCTCTTCCGAGGAGTCTTCTAATATGTGTATATCGCCTATTGCATCAAGCCTATCGTTGATATCAGTAGAAGATACGAGAGGTTCTGCTATCCATTTTCGAAGTAGGCGGCGACCTGCCGGAGTTCGAGCTCGATCCACAAAGGAAAGCAAAGTCCCTCGTTCCGAGCCGTCATTACAGGACGACAATATTTCAAGATTCTGCATCGTCGGAGCATCAATTCGCAGGTACTTTGAGTCTCCATTAGGAGAAAAGGTACTCTGGCAGGACTTGTCCTCGTCTTCCGGGTTCTTCGACGTTGAAAAAAGATGATAGTTTCCAAGAGATAGCGTTTCTTTGTCGATGATAAGTGATTTTAAATGGGATGCCATTGCTCCAAAAACCTCTTTGCAAAGTGCGTGGTCGTCAAGGTGTTTGCGCACCCGTTTTAGCTCGCATTGGCTTTTCTGGCTCGTGAAGTAAGTACTCAACCATGACGATGTCATTGAAGAAAACCCTCGTCTTGTGCTGGTCTCGATGATCTCAGCTTCATTACTGTTAGCGGCCCATTTCAGAATCCCAGCCAGCCTTTGACTCGCAGCGGAGAGATTGGTGATAATTTCGTGAGGTCGCAGGAATGTCACAAGGCGTTCTGTCTGGGCGAGCCGGAAGTCATCCATGAACTCGCCGATGCTGATGTTGCCGCTCGCGACATCTACATAGCAAACCCCGATTTTTCGCGATGGTGTTGAATCGTTCAATTCTTTGGCCCCTAGACTTCCAGTCTCGGCAGAGGAGGCTGCTTCAGACGAAGACGCACCTTCCAGTATGGATAAAACATACCTAGCTCGGTGATCGCGTAATAACCCCTCGTCAGTGACAGTCGCTTTCGTCAAGATACGGACGAGACTGCGATGGCACACTGTAGACTGGTTTCCGGCTCCAGAGTTCTTCCTCTTTTCTGCTGCATTCGCTGTCTCTGTCTGTTCTACCCGACCTACTTTGTACCCGAGATCAATTAAACGCGCACAGTGCTTATCAAAGCTCTGTTCGGGTACCCCGCAGCACCTCATGTCAACCCTTCCACCTCGGGTAAAGTTCAATCCGAGCTCCTGGTGACCAATATCAGCGTCCACGTCGTACAATTCGTAGAACTTTCCTTTCTTAAAGAAAATGATGACGTCATAGTTTGCGCTTTTGATAGCCCAAAACTGCCTTTGAAACGGCGTGAGAGGGCCTTTCTTGGAGCCCTTGGTCTTCTCCCTCAGCATTTCTGGTGGGACGAAGAGAGTTGTTTTGTCGTAGTTGGGATGATTGGGTTTTCGCTTTTGAGAGTCTCGGATATCCACAGTCCACGAATTCCTTTCGCACCAATTGTTTTCGTCCTTACCAATAACTCTTCCTTGGCTGTCGAGGGCGCCGAGCTTGCGGCGAGCATCTCGACGTGGTTTGGACATTGGTAAAGGTTCTTGCGTTCCATTTTCTGTACCCGAGTCGTCTTTATCGGTGCGTTTCAAAGAGAAACGTTCAATAGCGGGCTCCGTATTAGCGCTTTCGGACAGCGTTGCAACTTCTGCCATCAATTCGTCACTCTCTGCGACTACTGCGTCGCCAGTGTCTCCAGATCGAGCGGATGCGTTCGAGTCTGCCTTATTGTTGGGATGAAAAACGGTTGGACCGGTCTCCAGAACAGCTGAGGCCGAAGGGGTAGTGTCAGAGTCATCATCGGAGAAGTCTTCGACTCTGAGGACTTTTCTCCTCTTCACGGGTGGGCGCAAGGGGACATCGTCTTCCTCGGTGAAAAGCTCGCGACGAATTTGCCCAGCGGACGAAGCAGACTTGGCGGAAGCAGTTGGGCCCGCGGCATGAACGGTAGAAGAAGTGATGGGGCCATCGCGGTCATCAGCAATGGAGGCGGTCGTGCTCGGGGTCATGGGGTTATGAGAGGGAGTCACAGCCTTCGTAGGCGTCGCCAGTGATTTCTTCGATAAGGAGGATGGCGTTTGGCGGGTAGAGGAGGGTGCAAAGAAACTCAGGATGGACTTCTGCATCTTACTCGAGCCTTTTGATGGCGTGGAGCGCTTCTGCTTGGTGGTACGCCTCATGGCTGAAGCTGGTCTACCACCTGAGTGGGCAGGGGTTGAAAAGGAGAGGCGGTTGTTCGGCTTTCACGGGATGGGCGGATGGTTGAGCTGTGGGTTCCGTTGCCACTTTAGTTATATGCATCATTCCCGGCAGTTGCACCGATAAGCAGAGAGTGTTGGTGTTTCCATTGGTCGGTCGCGAATCCGGACAGGGCGGTTTCTCTTCGACCTCGGGTTCCATTTTCCCGCCAAAGCGACTAATCCAGGGTACGGACTCGACTTGGCTTGAGCCTTTATTCCGCACCTACGCCAACCGGCTGGTCAACAGCATGTGATTCATTAAAATTAGTTAAAAAACGCCCACATCGCTGTACATGCTACAGCACCCACTCTATGGCACCCTCCTTGCAGAGAGGAATTACTGTAAGAAATTCGACAGTAGCAAATCTGCGCTACTGGATCGAGGTCGAGACCTTTTCCGAGGACCACACAAAGCAGTGCAACGTCTTTTTTTCAAATCTCGCTGTAGAGGTCCCAAATAATAACGTTGAATTCAATTCACACTGTAGCCGACCGAGATCACGTCCACCTCCCATCCCATCCCCCGTTCGGCAGTCAAGGAAGGCTGCCTTCGACTTTTGACTCGGTAGAGAGCATACATTTGCACTTCCTGTTCTGCGTCCAGTCTTCGATCCTTGATCTACGGTCTCCATTTGTACCGAAACTGCCGAGCTCATCTTCAAGCGAGCCCCCATGGAAAACTCCGGCGCCTTCGTCTCGCCCCTCCCAGTCCTGTCCCAGCGACGCCCGGCGCCCGTCAAGTCGCGAGTATGCATGGCAGCCGACAAGCCCGACGAGAAGAAGCCGTCCGGGGCAGGAAAGCCCAAGCCCGGATCGCGGCCAAAAAAGACCATCAAGTCAACCGCGACGTGGGCCAATGTCTTCCTGCCGCAGTTCGGAAGGAAGGGGCCCGGCTCGAACCCCGATTGGGACCTCCGCCCGGCCAGTCTGCGCAAAGAGGAAGAGGGAAGGGGCATTTGTGACCACTGCAAGGGAACCGGAAGTACCAAGTGCAGCTTTTGCAGCGGCTTGACGCATGTCGGCGCGGATGGCAAGGTCAGGCCTTGCCCGGCGTGCGACGGAAATGTCACCGTCATGTGTTCCGTGTGCTTCGGGACGAAGAAACAAATTGAAATGGTATTTCGTCCTTGTTTTACGTCTTTGCCGCATGCGTTGCTCTTGCAAAGGTAATGATGCTTGTCGACTAACTTTTTTTTTCTTTTTTTTCGGCGGCCGGATTCTGTGCTTTCCTGTGTTTGACGTGGCAACGTTCCTTACGTAGACCGGCAATTGGTGGGAACGCGGCATTGCATCCTTGTTTAAAGAGTAAGAGCAGACATATGTCCATGCTTCTGTCATAACACAGTATCACGTTTGCAACTGCTGAGGCGTACTTCTGCCTGCCGCGATTTTCCCGGGTGACATAAACACGCCAGAAGTCAAAGACGGTCTTACATAAAATATCTTCATGTCTGATGGCACACGTTTCGTATTTCTTCCTGACCCCCACAACCAATACGTTTTTGTTTTTTTTTTTCCTGCAGAAAAATAAAACACACGTCAGTGTGTCACCCTGTCGGCTTTGAGAACGTACCTTGTCCGACGGCTTTGGTACCTTGAAGCTCCTGGAAGACAAAGATGTGTTTCGTAATGTATTGCAATCGCATTTAGCTGTTATCGATACAGTGCAGTCATTGCCAAACGCGTTGTCTGAAAATTCTGCTTGTAGAAAATCCGAGCAAACACGACGCCAAAACACGCGTTTTCGTGACTGTTGAAAAGTTGGAGACCATACAAGCGTGGGTAATATCCTGTTGCAGGAGGATTGTTACCGCATTTGTAGAAAACAGCAAGTGAGTGGCCATTTAGCCATTCACTCTTATATTTGAGCCTTATTTGTTTATTTCTTTCTACGGGCTTTGTCGATCCTTTTAAGACACGACGAAGCCATCCTCACGAGGAGTTTTTAGGGTCTCACCGGGTGTATTGGGGTAGTATAAAAGCAGCTCTCCATCTTTCTAGTAGAGGAAGAAGGAGAGCAGCACACAGAGAAGAATTTCAGCCATCCTAAAGGTCAACGTTCCGTACGTCGGAAGACAAGGGTGAATAAAGAGGTACCGTCCGTCGGTGCTTAATTTTCTCGAATATTTTCTGTATTTTTCCTCAGTTTTTTCACATTTATGAATTATCGAATTTCTGGGAAACTATCGAATCTCAAGACCATTACGAGTGATCTCCAGCTTGCAGACTAGGGTTTTTGCTTTCGGAGGTTTTTTGCGACTACCACCACCCATCCCACCGCTAGCCAAACTTTTCTTTGCACACAGGACGCGCTGCCGCTGATTGACGTGAACATTCTTCTTTGACAGGTTCTTTACCTGAAACGGTTGATCCCGTTCGCCGGGGACGCGAGGTTGGCGACTTGAACCAAGGCAATCTCGTTACCGGAGCCCCACCGGTTCTTCGGGGCGGATAACGGTGTTTGGTGTAAAAACCAGGTGATTTCTGATCGAGTGAGCTGACGGGGTGTTGTACCGCTGGTGTAGAGCATCGTCTCCGTGGTTTTCGAGATGTCAGGAGGCGCTGCAGAACAGTCTAGGGATAGCTCGGTTGACGCTTCGGAGCCGCTGTTCATGCAAGGATTGTCTGATAATCTTTTTCAAGGGCTGAACGACGTGCAGAAGGGCTTTATTACTTCTATTAGTTTGGTGCAAAGTTCTCATGAAGACGGAGATGCTCTATTACGGGCAATTGCGGACATGTTTTCGCCTAGTCTACTCTTCAGCGAAGAATTAAGAAGTTTACCGTCCGTTTATTCCGAACTTCGAAATTTTCTGGACACTTGTAGTGCTCGAATGACCCAGCATTCATCGTGGAGAATCATGATGACCCTGGCATCCAATGTCTATGAGGAGCAGGAGGACAAACAAGCAGCCATTGAGATTGTATAGGACATCATAACAGCCGGACGCCGAAATCGTGAACAAGTGTCTGCACCTCAAGCTACTGTCTCCACTCCTGCCTTCGTCGAAACCTTTCGTCATTCTGGCGGTTCCTCAATGGACAAAATCGCCCACAATGTGGCAATGAGGCTGAAAGACAAAGATAAGAAGTTCAGCGGTGCAATTGGCAAATGTTGGATGTAATACGTAGACGAGTATAAACAACTCGCTCGTGACTACGGGTTGTCCGTTTCCCAAAGGTTGCAATACATTCACAACATGCTTCGAGGTGACGCAAAGCGATTCTACTTGGACAAGATTGATAGATATGCTACTTCTTTTAATCAGGCCGTCGATATTGTCCAGAAAGAGTATAATTCTACAGTCCGACAGACAAAGGTCAAGAATTACCTCAATACTTTAAGAATCTCGAAGTTCGTCAACACAGGAACAGAGATGTCTGACGCCCTTGCCAAAGTTCACAACATAATCAACAAGCTCTCTCGCCAAGGACCTGCATCGCACCGGGGTGAAGCACATAAGATCGAATTCCTTCATCAAGCTGTCGTGGGATTTGGTTGGTCCAAGGACCCTCTAACACGGATTGCCACCAACAATTTGACTTTTGAAGAACTATACGGAGATCTGGAAAATGCCCTGCAGCTTGAAAAAGAAGCTGAAATCGCCAAGCTTCGCGATAGTATTGCTGTGCACCAAAACAAGGCGGCATCTGACAGAGAGAGGAACGAAAGGATTTTCTACACAGGCCAGGGTAGATACGCCCGTCCTCCGTCCCTTGTTAACAGTCGCGGACGAAAAGCCGAATCGTTTGGAAAGAGTTCGTATGTACCCAAATCTTTTGATCCACTCAGTGGAGAGGCTCTCCATCGCTGGATGCTTTAATTGTGATGGTCGTAATCACACCCTGAGCAATTGTCCAGTGTCTCTGAATATTAAGAAAGCAGCAGCAAATAAGCTCGAGTACTATGAAAAGAAGAGAGGGAAGGTTGGTGGGAACGTGCATCTTGTGCTTGTCGAAATTTGCTATCAGCTGGACATGTCCGGTGATGGAAGAGATTCTGAATCTCCGGGCACTTTAGAACTCCCCTCAGATAAGGACATGTTTGATGAACTTCTCACGCGTGCTGAAGTGAGCATCAATACTGTCGAAGTTGAAGCAGGACCTGTGCAAGACCTGTCTAAAGACGACAGGGAACAGCTATTTACAGTATTCGAAGACGTCGTCTCAGCGGAAGTGATGGTCAACTTAAGCCATGAGGACTCGAGGTCGGCACTGTTTCTCGGAGCCTGCATCGACACTAGTGCGCAAAGGTCCGTAATCGGTAGAAAGCAGGCAGTGGCGTACTGTGCTTTCTCCGGGATACTATTCCAAGTCGATACGGTGTGCAAGCACAGAGTGTACAAGTTCGGGGAAAAGCGGTATAAGGGTCTTGGTACGCTCTTGATTCGCATATCGGTCGATGCAGACCGCTTTATCTCTGCAGATGTGGAAGTCGTCGATCTTGATGTCCCTTTTCTCATCGGATTGGAATTCCTCGTGCAGCATGGGATGCTGATAGATACTGCACACAACTTGCTCATTTCAGATGTGGGTGGGTGGCAGCTTCCGTTGGTTTCGAAGCGCGGACACCTATTTTTGAGTGGACGGATGAAATACTGTATACAAACGAAGAACTGCGCAAGAAGCACCGTCAGTTTTTTCATCCCAAGTCAGAGAGATTGTACGCAGTAATGAGACGATCTGACCCGAACAGTTGTTCACCACAAGACCTCCATCGACTTCAGGAAATAGCCAGTCAATGTGACGTTTGTCAAAGACTTAGTCGCGCTTCAAGCCGTTTTCGTGTCTCACTACCAATGGACAATGTTGTCTTTAATCGTATATTATGTGTTGACATCATGTACTTGGATAGCCACCTGGTCCTACACTGTGTTGACCGAGAGACAAAGTTCGACGGTGTCGCGTTCCTACCAGATGGGACCACCGAAACTACGTGGCGAACATACCAACGTATATGGTCGTTGCCATATGTTGGTCACCCAGAACATGTGCATACAGACCAAGGCCCGCAGTTCAAGTCTCGCAGGTGGGAAGGTCTATGTCACCTTTCGGGTATCGAATTGAATCTTTCAGGGGTAGAAGAACATAACGCACTTGGTGAGGGCGAGCGTTATCATTCCTATTTGCGTCAGACTTACAAGAAAGTCAAGAAAGATTTTCCTACCCTTGAAAATAGTTATGCACTGCAGATCGCTGTGAAAGCGGTCAATGACACGGCAGGTCCGAATGGATTAGTTCCGACATCGCTTGTTTTTGGTGTTTTTCCCCGTTCCCTCATCACCACTCTTGAGTTGCCAAAGCAAAAGTAAAGAATGGTGGCGATGCAGGCTGCACGGGATGAAATGTCAAGGATAATTTCGCAACGGCGCGTCAGTACCGCCCTTTGATCAAACGTGCCGGCTGGCACATCATCAAACGTCTTTATTGGTTCAAAAGTGCTGTTCTATCGTGAGCCGCCTGTGAACGGGTGGACAGGGCCGCATCAAGTTCGGGATATCCTGGGAAAGCAAGTCTTCGTCGATATCAAGGACGCTTTGCGAAGTTTTCCATTGATAAGACAAAGCCGTACAATGACGACCAGCATGTTCCCGAAACTGAAGACAGGGCCATCGGGACACAGAATGATACAATCACGACGTCTGATGAACACATTCCCTCAGCTGATGACTACGCGAAGGCAATGAACAGCCTTTTGGCTGCGCTGCGCAAAGACATGGACTCTCTATCCATGGCTGCAGACGAACCGATAAAAAATTCTGAGTTATTCACTAATGAAGTAGAGGAATATATGACAAAGATATTATGCCCTAATGACCCTGCTGCCGACACGGAGAAATTTCGTCAAGCTAAGTTCTCGGAAGTGAAGGGTCTGCAGGACAAAAATACATGGACTGTAGTAGACAGACGTGAACTTGAGAAGGACGCTAACATCTTGGGGGGCAGATTCGCGCTGACGCTCAAATATTTTGGCACTCATAATGAGACACCCAAAGCTCGCTATGTTGCGCAGAGGCATAAGGACAAAGAAAAAGAGTTCCTTGATCATAATACCACAAACCCTCGTCAGCGTTCGATCAGGATGATTGTGTCATTTGTCGCTGTCAAGGAGTACAGAATTTTCAGTCACGATGTGAGGCAGGCGTATCTACAAAGTGAAGAAGAACTCACGCGTGAGATTTATGTTGCGCCCAAGAAGAAGGACCAGCAGTTCTTCCAAAACTCAGCTAATGAAGTACTTGCTCTTCGTAAGCCACTTTATGGCAATGGGGATGCCGGTGACTATTGAGCAGTTACGTTTGACAAACATGCCAAGCATGATTTGCGAATGACTCCCTTGTTGGGTGATCCATCTCTGTACATAATAATCTCGGTACAGAATCGCAAATGTACTCAAGGTGCCGATGCACCAGAGGGATGCATGGGTGTTTATGTTGACCACAGTTTATTGACAGGAAACGAAAAGTTTCA